AGAGCCGTTGAGCCCAGATTGATTGCTGGTAGCGCATCGCCCAGCTCGTTGGCCGAATCGCCAATATTCAGCTGGTCGTTTTGGCCAAGCTGCCCACCTTCCAAAGTGGTCAGGATGGTCCGGGGTGCCTTGGGTCTATCTGAAAACCATGGCTGTTTAAGTGATGGATGTCATGGGCGGCTGTTTACCATGGATTTTACATTGGTATCTATGTATCATCATGATGCTACGGATTGCGTCTCTGTCCATTGCACCACTTGAATGGCTAGCGCTAAGCGTCCCCTAGGAGAAAGGTGAAGCGAATGGAGAATAAATGGTGAGAGACAAGAACGGTAAAGAAACGTCCCAAAAGCCGAAGATCGACGTTTTTTTCAATGCATAGAGCATGGGCATACAGGATCTGATGTGATGATCATGAATTGAGCCCCTGCTCATCCGTTTCCGACACGCGTGGCGTCCCATGGTGTCCCAGTCCCTATTTGTGGCAAGGTACTGAGTCCAGAACCCCAACATTTCACGGAAAAATCATCCAGCAAGGCACAGCTGTGCCAAGCACCGGCTGCAACTTGTTGAGCGGTCCTTCCGCTGCCCAAATCAACCTGGTTGGTGGTTGATCTACCCCTCCGAAAAATGATGGAGTTCGTCAGTTGGGATGATGACATTCCATTCCCAATATATGGAAAGTCAAATAAAACGTTCCAAACCACCAACCAGCAACTGTTGAGAGATTGTCTCCCATTTCATTTGCATCATCACCGATTGTCTCAGTGTTCCCAAGGCCAAGTTGACCATAGCCTCCATGGCCCCAACCTGACAAGGGGCTATGCCCGGCTATGCATTTGTACATTCCAATGGAAGGACCGGAAAGCTCGCCATCCTAAGCCTTCCGACGGTGTCTAAAAGAGGAAGGAGACCGCTATAGAATGAATCTCCGATGTATATAGGCTTGAAAACGATAAGTCGCTTACAGTTAGCAAAGCTAGAGATGATAGAGAAAGGTTCAATAGAGATAAGTTTGACATAGACAGATTTGACAGAGAACACTTTCATAGTCCTACGCCTGCTATGAACGCATCAAAGAAGCACCAAGGGCTGCGCCATACCAAGCTTATCTTGAGTGGTAGAGATAGGATTGATATAGTTGGGCTTGGCAGAGATCAGTCTGGTGAGTTCAAGTTTGATGGAGGTGGGAAGGGATACGTTTGCCAGCGAAGAGTTTCATAGAGTGAAGTTTGGCAGTGATAGATTTGGTACAACTTGACGGAGGACGGAACAAATGCAAGCGGGAGATGAAGACAGCAAAACAAGAATCCAACACCGGTTGGGCGGGAAAAAAATCCAGACACGTTGTGACAGAGAGGACCAGAAAATCAAAGTTCAAACATCTCAGGCGCCAATGCGAACAGAGCAACCTAAGAACATGCTGCTAGTGTTTCACCCCTCTTTGCAGAAGTTTGACAATTTTCATACATGGGGATGACCCCCCAAATCCATTTCTGTCTTTACAAACCATTCGTTTTGGGGTACCCCTGCTTTGGAACAGCGGTGAAACCAGGCGGCATTTGATGGCATGATTGTCCAACAAAGCACAGGTGTGTAATCCGCCAGCTGCAGCTTGCACGACCGTTCGGTTGCTTCCCAGGTCTATGTAGGAGAGATTCCTTAGAGGCTTCCCAGGAACTAAAACTCCAATGGAAACGAATCTGAAACAGGAAATCGATAAATCAACTCTGCGTATTTCTGCCTAGACTTTGACTTGGCCAACAGCATGAAAAACATTGAGTTCCTGAGTTCGCCAAAACCAATCAACTTCACCAAGTGAGTTAACGCTGAGAGAAAAATGAAAGATTCTCTGAGGTCATCCTTTTTCACCACACCAAGGTTTCACAGAAAATTCATCTGCTCACATGACTCACGAATGCATCTTTTGGATCACAGCATATAGATCATATTGGTGGTGCAATGTGCCCGTCTTGAAAAATGATGGAGTTAGTCAATGGGAAGGATGACATCCCATATATGGAAAATAAAAGTCATGTTTGAAACCACCAACCAGATATAGATCATATAGATCACACGTGGATTACGGAAATCGATCCGATCGATCCCCTGTCGATTCATCCGATTGCGGCCAGATTCTCACCCATCTCAAAGGCTTCATCTCCCAGGTCTTCTTGCGTTCCTCGGACGACATCCAGTGACGACATAAAAAAACGGTTGACGAAATTGAAATTTTTCTGTGATTGAAAAACCTGTTTGGATGATATCGAAAGATTTTTTGTTGGGATTTTCAGGCTTCAACGTGGGAATTCAACGAACATCGTGGGAATTCCGCGTCAAGGCTCCCTGCCCAAGCTGCCCATATTGGCCGTAACCCCAACATTTCATCTGCAGGTTGTCAAGCACAGCACAGCTGTGGAAATTGCCCACTGCAATGCTAGTGACCTTAGTGCGGGGTGAGACAAACCTCAGACTTTGCCAAGTCAATCAACTCCAATAA